CAAATTATTTCCATAAACCCTTGTCACGAGACATTATATTATCCAGTATATAATCCATAATAGCAAATCTACTGAATAACTAAACGAAATTCTTTCACAACACGGAGGAATTGCATTGAATTAAATTTCATAATAATCTATATTTATGAACTAACCCACCAAATACTAGAAATCTCATTTGCATCAAAGTGATCCTTGAAATCAAGGTCATTTTTGTGCACAGCTTTGAATGTTCGTATTGTTATCCCGATAATGAAGCCACCGGCACTCGAAACCAAAAGTTCTCGTTATCTCAGTGAAGAGGACAGAAATAGAATTGCAAGGGCACATAAGCTTCGATTTTCCATATCAAATCTTGCCCAATGCTTTTACGTTGACAAAAGCACGGTTTACAGGACAATCTATGGGAAGGGATAAAACATGATCGGTCTTGTCGGTGTACCTCAATCAAAGGCACCATGAATCGTGGGAAATTAATCTCAGCAATGAGGAAAATGTTTCCAGAATTTCATGAGGAAAAATCGTCTAGGAAAGTTACCGTTTTTCAGAATAACGCTCCGTGTCATGTTTCACTAGTGGATGGTAAATTTATTTAGTTAAGGAGGTTGGTTCACTAATTATTTGCTTTTAGACTGCAGAAAAGATGCGTGAATCTGAAGTCCAGCTCATGCAACTTCCCCCTAAAAGCCCGGGTCCGAAGGTGGTTGAAAATTTGTTGTCCGTTTTTAAGAGAGAAGCCAATGTGCTACCTGAACATTTGACATTGGAGGTAAAGTAATTGAGCACAAAATAAAAATGACTTTATAAGAAAGTTGGTGTATTCGATGCTGAAAAGACTAGAAAAGTCCTAAACAATAAACGCAGGCCAATAGACTATTAGTAATTTTTATTTCGACACAAGAACAAGCTTGGTGCCAACGCCATAAAAATAACGAGGTGAGGGTGGGTGGGGTACAGAGTATAGGGAAAAGATGTAGCTGTCAGAATAGGAGGTTACGAATAAGTGGAATAACAATTTTTTTGAGTGTTTCATCGTACACTTTTTAAAATTTTTTTGTTGTTTGTGGTTTTTGCGGGGCACGGGATTTCGACAGGTAGACCGTACAGCATTCACGCCACTGACTTCTATTCCGGGCCATATCTCTCAGCGTCTCTAACAAGCGACAATCATCATCCCTTGGGCTCCAACCTGGAAGGCAGGGTGCATGAACCGAAGCCAGCTTCTTCATGCCTCTAACCCATGTCATGGTCTGACCGCCGCG